CTTCCGTTTAAAACCAACAAATGCACCAATTGAACTACGGTTTGCTTCACTTGAAAGGGCAATTATTTTTCTGTAAAATAACATTAAAACGGTTTTAAATCTAGTAGTCAAAAAGATCAAAAGAACAGTACTAAATGATCCGTTTTAGATACTTTAGCTAAGGAAACCTATCTTCGTGTCAATAGATAAAAGATAGGGTACAAAGCATTTTAAGTTGATACCTACCCATTGCTTTACAGGAGCAATTACCCAGTACGAGTCCTTTCAAATATCCAAGCCATAAATGGATAAATTCCTTTGGGAGGAATGAAACCATTGAATATGAGTGGGTGGCGCTAAAAATGGTTTCCAAAGAATAATTCTGCATTAACCTGACCAACCGCGCAATTAAAAGAAAATAAGAAAAAGAAAATACATTTTAACATTAAAGTCATTAATGGCTTCAAACTTTCGTCAAAGAAGTTTCTTTGAATTTTCTATTCATGGACATATCAGGGTGTAAATAAAATAATTGATTGATTTTTGATCAAAACTATTTCTTAAAAAAAAACTCAAACACACCCCCCAGTTTTGTAACGATCCGGAAATGAACTTTGCTTCCGTTGTTTCCTTTCAATTCCCCAAACCATATTTAATTAGTTTTGGCCTTTATTGAGGTTTGGCTACGAAAAGTTCCGGATTCTCCACTCGGCTTCCAAATGGAAATAGATTTCTTTCTCATTTGAAAGAGAAACACAAAATTTATTGCGTAAAACAATTTCGATCAATCTGACAAAAACAAGGCAACCACAAAACAAAAATGATTTTTTTTAAAAATGAAAAAAACGACGACGCGACACTCCCATCGACTACCTCCAAATGGCGGCGACGTCAATTGGAATGGGACGTCGCGCGAAACTTAACATTTAATAATAAGATCAAATTAACGAAAATTAACATTTAACAATAAGATCAAAATAAAATTTGCGACGGAAATTCAAATTTAACATGAAAGCGTCTCGAAATTCTCTAAGAATCATTCTTTACTAGCAAAGATCAATCGGTAAGGTATTTATTTTATCTCCATTATTATCGATGACTTCTTCCCATCTTCTGCGCAGCTCTCGGATTGCATCATCGAATTCAAAAGGTTCCTTAGAGGTGAAATAGGCATAGAGCTTATTTATGACTTAAGCATGATTATCAAACTGTACATCTTCCAAGAAGTTTTTCAATGTCCGAAATAAAAATAATCTGACGGTGCAAGGTCAGGGGAGTAAGGTGCGTGAGGGAAAAGTCTCTAACCTAGCTTCTCAATTTTTTCATGAGTGGCTTTTGCAGTGTGGGGTTTAGCGTTATCGTGCAGAAATCGGACTCTTGACCGTTTGATCCCCAATTTCTTTAAAGCTTCGTTAACTCCCACTAGTTGTTTTGAGTAAAGGCCTGCATCGACTGTTTGTCTAGGTTTTAGCACTTCATAATGCACCAATCCTTTCGAATTTCACCATAAACAGAGGATGATTTTCGATTCAGGAATACCACGATACACCGTAGTAGCCGTCGCTGGCAGAAATGGTTCTTGTTAATGTTAGTGATTGTTGTAGCGATGAATCCTCTCAGCTATCTCTGAGTCTCCTCCTGAGAGTAGTAAATTGAGATTGTATTGAGTAAATTGAGATTGAAGTGGAGGCGTAAGTCTATCGGATGGCGCTGAAAGTATAGTTTTTTGAATATGATTCTTTTTCAAAAACTGAAAAAGTTAGTTGAAAAATTTTCTGACCGTCTTTCATAATATAACGCTTAATGATTTTATTTAAATTCTAATATTCAGCAATGTTTTTGCCTTATTGCAATAGTTACTCACGAGTCCTCGGTGATGCGTTGTAGTGACTGTTGCTGGTTTTTGTTTGAGGTGGGTGAGTGCAGTTGCCAGAAGAAGCGTAGCGTATCAAATCGTCCGATTGAAGTGGGGGCGTAAGTCTATCAGATGTCGACACCATGCACTTTCGATCTTCATAGTTCTCGCAGAAATATTCTAAAAATTTCAGTCCTACAACGTTCTTTTGTTACGACACTAGTTTGTTCTGTAACTTTTATATTTATTTTTTCACATTTTTCTAATTCTTACAGTATCGCTTTTTTTAAACATAATTAGGCTATTACTAACCATTTGACGTTGTTGCATTTTTAGGATATCCGCTGTCTAGGATACCCGCTGGATATCCAGTTGGTGCTCCTTTATTATAGAATGTTCCTGAATCGGGGAAATCTTGCTTACCAAGGTCTAAAATCTTACTTTCGTGATGTTCAACTTTTTCACGAGTTTTCTGCTCTTGATTTTGTAGTTGGTCCAGCTTGAGCTCAAAATCCTGCATTTTCTGTCTAAAAAGCTTACAGATTAGACAAAATTCATGAGCTTAACAGTTTTCAAAAAGTTACTGTTGTGCTTCAATGTGCTGAAGAGTTTTTTGCTGAAGAAAACGAATTTCTTTATTTTCTTCTAGAATCTGTTCCATCGTTGCGAGGATCTGGCTAGAGTTTTCCACAAAAGCTTGAGCAGAAGTAGATGCTACATAGTTGGATTTTAAACCAGCGAGAACAAATGCTCTTTACCTTGAGACTGAACACTATTTACACTATTTTGCGTGTTTTCATAAACAATTTCAATGTTGAACAGGTCACTATGACCAACAGAAACTCTTCGTTTTGTCCGGTCAAATCCAATCGGTTTGATTAATCGAGTTTCCAGTGGGCTGTCAATCGGTTTGACATTCATCAAAATAGCATCTTCGTCTTGCTAACTGTAGAATAGAATCTTATAAGATGTACCTTAAGGGTACCTTGTATAGATCCTCAATTTCGACCATCAGTTCACTTACACGTGAGCGTTTGTTCACGTCAAAGATTGTGCATCTAACAATACGTTCATATTAGGTTGGCAAGAAAGTTCGTAGAAAAAGTTTGCACGGTGATTTCTCAAAAACCAAGCCATGAATTCTTCCCAGTTTTTTTCATAAACTTGACTATATTTCAAAAAGTTTTTGATATAAAAAGAAGAGATTTCTTCAGCTGAAGTGACTTGGTCACTTTTTGAGTGACCAGCCGTTAGAGAAGTTTTTAATGGGTTAATCAATAGGCAATGGCTCCCATTCAAAACCTAAAAATGAAGTACTTAAAATAGGAAAAATTTGTGATTGAGGCAAATTTTATCTAGTGCTTTAACTTTTCAGAATCACCTATTTTTGCAAACACTCAGTGCCAAGAAGATGACATCAAAAAATCATTTTTTGCAATACAGCTTCTATGTAGAAAAATTTTCGGCCAAAAATAGAGATTATAGAGCGTATTGCTCATTTATGTTAGCTTTATCTCATAAAGAATCGTTTTTCTGGTGCAAAAAGAGCTGAATTTAAGCTGGAAAATAATAATTTTTTCAAAAATCTCTAAAATTTTAAGGAAAAGTTGCACTCATTTTTTACGAGTAATTTCTTGGAGTTGACTTGTAAATAATAGACTTATTTTTTTTAAATTATTTCAGCAAACCTTTTCAAATTGGTCAAGAAGATGACCTCAAACAATTATTTTTTGAAATACAACTTCTCTGTGGAAGATTTTGAGCCAAAAATATAAAGCGATTATAAAGCGTATTTGCTCATTTATGTTGAGTTTACCCCATAAGAAATCGTTTTTATGGTGCACAAAGTGAGTTGAAAAGCTGAAAAGCTGGAAAATGATACTTTTTGATAAGGAATCATTTTTCTGGTGCAAAAAGAGCTGAATTTAAGCTGGAAAATAATCTTTTTTCAAAAATCTCTAAAATTTTAAGGGAAAGTTGTACTCATTTTTTACGAGTAATTTCTTGGAGTTGAGTTGTAAATAATAGGACAAAATGTTCTTGAATTGATGGATTCGGTTCTAAGAGATTCCAGTCAAACTTTTTCCGAGAACTTTCTTTCCAACCTAATAAAAGCAGGTAAGACAACAATCTCTGGTTTGTTTTTAAAGACCCACTTTTCAACAATGAAACGAATTCCATGTTCACATTCAAGCACCTCAACGTCGATGAGTTGCCTTTCTTCGGTAGCGAATAGCCCGTAGTCATAGTGGCTGCCAAATCGATCAAAGACTTTCCTAAAGCGTTACTTTTATTTCGCTCGAAATAAAATTCAACACAACCTCCGTTCGATCATTTCCCAAATGACTAAGCCCATGCTGTAGACGTCACTTCGATGCGATAACTTAAAATATTTAATTTATATTTAAATGCATTCTAAGAATCATTTTTTAAATGCTGAGCTCAACTGATTGCTCAATTATATTGTGTTAGTGGGTATGACTTGGCACGCTTTTTGAAATGAAAATTTTCTTCAGTCAACAACTTCCAATCATGCGAGATCTTTGCTATTATTTTGTAAAATTTGTGCACATTTTATTGGTAGAAGTCAAATGCTTTTCTCGTAGAAAATCTTCAGTTTTGACGCCAACCATTCTGTCAGCCATTTTTTGACCTATTCTTCGGAAGCAAAGCTCGCCAAATCATTGCTCATCGCCCGGAATCAGTAGTAATCATAAGGTGCAATATCAGTTACCCTAATTTGACTTTTGTATCACTCTAGCTTTGGCATTACTTTGCATGTTCCTCCAAGCTTGGACAAAGCGCATAAGCACGTCTCATCTACGAATGGATCTCCACATTCCTCATTATTAGCTAGCAGTTTTTGTTCAACCGCTTTTAATGCCCGAAAACCGATTTCGTGTTCTTGTCTTGTTCTTAAACTTCTACTTACAGTCGACTCTCTCTAAAACGGACCTCTATATAGTGGAAAACACGATATAACAGAATGGAATTTTGGTCCCGATCGACGCTAAGCTATATACAACGGCACTCTATATAACGGAAGAGTTTTTGGTCCTTCCATTCCGTTTTAAAGAGAGTCGACTGTATGTCGAAAGTGAAAGTCCATGGTTTTCGCGAGAGTTAATGTTCCTTTATCTATTTTTCACAAGCCCCTCTCTCTTTCTTTCTTTCACAAGCCGAGTCATACCCACCAACCCAATATAATAACAAAGATAAGTTTCATGTCCAACCCTTTTTCCAGAGATGCTTTTTGACTGTTCTGGGCTCATGTATCGCCTCGTGCCCACCGCTGGCGTGAATGATGAGCATGACCGAGTGATTTCTTTAATTGATCCAAAATCCCCTAGCTTTAGCTCAAAGTATGTGCTAACAAAAACACTAAAAAATTTCAGATGAACTTTGGCGTTGAAAACATAATACTTGGCTGGCTTGATGTCTCGGTGAACCACTCTATTCTCGGCTAAATATCCCAAAGCCTTAATCAGTTGACGCGTCCATGAAACTACGTTGTAAATTGTGTAAATTATGGTCGGATTGTCAATTACTAAATGTTAATTTGTTTCCTTTTGCTTAAATTAAATGCTTACAGTGGCACAGAGCGCCTCGCTCACAATATTCCAACAAGATCCCTTGAGCCCAAATGTTTGTTCGTTTTCGTTTGAATTTTCCGATTCCGAGATATTTTACAATATTAGGGTGATTTAATCGTTTGAGAGTTTCCACTTCAATAAGGAACTCATTTCGGCGAGTATCGGCTCTGGTGGTGATGTGTTTTAACAAAATTGCTCTAAAATTTCAAAGTCAGAATTCTGATAAACAATCAAAAATACCAAGCCTTTAGACAACAAAACTCACGGTTCGAAAGAGTCAATAAGAAATATTGATCCCGAAGCGCCTTGCCCAATCCACTCTAAGTTGACTCCAGATAGATCAACGGGTATCTCCATTATTTTGTCGACATTTTTTTGTACTAAACTCAGCTACTCTCAATTTGAAACCAGTTTTTGAAGCCACTCTTTTTGAAAGCCTATTAAAAGAGATAAGAACAAAAAAAAAGCAAGAAAAGAATCCCAACTCCTTTTCACAAAATTTTATGACACAAGAAACAGCTTTCCAATAAAGCTGTCAGAGATGAAGAGAACAGAAGTATTTTCCAAAATTGGCGAATAATTTGTTCTTTACTCAAAAAGAAACTCAATATTCTAGTTGTTGTGTTATTTAGCAAACGAGTTGCTGAGAAGTTTTTGAGAAGAACGAGTAACGAGAACGAGTTTTACTCAAAGTAAGGAAAGTTTTTGAAGTATACTTTGATGGAACGTTTGATGCTTTTATTTGCATTGGCTCAATAGGTCATCCAGTTGCTGCTTTCTTGCAAACATATCGTGAGAGCTTTTCTTCCACTTGACTATTAGAAAACAAATTATCAGACCTTTATCGTCATATTCCGATATGTATCCACATAGTCAATCTGCAGCAAATCTTCATTCAGATTGGCTTCTTCTATAGTACTCCTCTCCACAGTTTCTTCTGTTGTTCGACCAACAACGAAAAGTGTTTGATAGGAGAACTTAAACATTTATCTTATCAATGGCTAACTGAATTTTTTACTTGAAATCAATTCAAAACTTACATGCTTTTCCCAGACACCGTTAGCATAAGTAGTTCAGATTGCGTCTCTTCGGCCACGATTCATGACCCAAGATTGAACCACAAATAGAGTCTAAACTCGGATTTGAATCAAAACCCATCAAATTTTAATTGAAAATTAACTTTATTTTCTTTGCTAGCTAGTATTGAAGAAACGCACTCTACCTTGACTTCGGGCGGACAAAAATCCCTCGTGAATGGGAAAGATTGAAAGAACTAAAACTGTGAGATTAAATCAGAAAAGTGAAGTAAAATTTTCCACTTTATTGGCTAATAACTTTAAAATATTGTTACCGGATGTGTTCCATTTGATCGGGCTCCTTCTAAAATCTCTAAAGCTGACAATGAGGGTGTTTTTCGAGGGAATTTTCGCTTGGCTAGTAGGTTTAGATTGTAGAACTGGTGTCATAGTCTGAAAAATGAAAAATAAGATGGGCAAATGAGACTTATTTTGTAAAACTATAGTTCTAAGACTGGTTATGGCTAAAGATCGGTCATTCAAGATATTTTGATCATCAAGAATCTGTCAAACTCGTCAAATTGCTAAAGCTGTTTTCAAGTAAAAGATAAAATATTGATTGAAAAACTGACTTTACTGGGCTCTAGACTTTTCGTGGTTGAACTTGTTTCAATTGGCATTGAAGTTGTGGTGGTTGTTGGTGAGATTAGTCTAATTGTTGTAGTGAGGAGATCAACGAAGACTCGTCGATTGTTCAACTCCATAACGGCAAGAACAATGAGAATTCCTACAACAAGAATCCAAGCATTGATATATCTTCGTGGTTGCATTCTAAACAGTGAAGAATTCTAAATGACAACTTGTTAAATGCAAATGAAAAAGAAAATCCCTTGTTATTTGAAAACCGAAACCAAAGTACCTGCTTGGTTATGTTAAAAACCTGTTTTTGAACTGGTTTTCGAGTTCAAATGGAAAGGAATACACCAAAATAACAATTATTACAGCAGACTGATTACAGAGGTCACAAATACGATCATTTTTTTGTTATAGAAAGATAAAATGTTTCGATTCTGCTAAAAAGCTAAGTTTTACTCAAATTTGTCTCATTAATAGACTCTCAATTCAAAAATTTCTGCAAAAACAGCCAATCAATTTGGACAACCTAGAAGAACTCTATAATTATGTAAAAAATTTGTATCCAATTAATTCAGTGACAAGAGAGCTAAATCATAACCTTTGCTTTTATGATGCCAAACAAGCAAAAAATCGTTTCAGCTGCTTTTTAACTGTGTATATTCAAAATTCAAAAGTTTAAAGTGTCATTGGTTTACTTTTTGTTTTAACAATGTTAGATGAGAAACTTGTTATATAAGAGTCTGAAAAGTGTGCTAACAGAAAGAAAAGCGAAGAGTTTAAAGCCAAGTGTGGTGATTATTGTTGGTTTAGATATAATCTTTATTACAGCGATAATAGTTGGTTCAGTGGTTTGAGATTGGGAGAGTAGAGACACTCCACGGCACACGTCGGCAGCTCGTTCACATCGCTTTTATACGGAACTCAGGCGTTGGTCTCGTCTTACACACAATGGAGTTGAACGGATAGCGACGCATATCAAATCTCGCACAATAGGCGTTCGTCCACATAGGTGTCTAGCTGGCCATTTCCATACGTGGCGATCTCGATCACGAGATCGTCACGACACCAAGACTTTAAATCGTTTTATCTTTTCTAAAAAACCTGAAAAAAGCGTTCGTGACTTTAAAGTTTTTATGGAGTCTGGAGTTCGCATTCCTCGGCTCATTTTTTTGAACTTTTGTGAGTTTGACTATTTACAAAGCTGCTCTGGGTGAGAAATGCATTTGCATAAATGCAAGAAATGTCAAAACCCCGCATTTGTGCAATTGTTTCTTTTGATTTGTTGCGGATTGTTGATTTCTTTGATCAGGGAATTTATTGTCCTTTACCGGTTTAATGAATCAAAAAACTTTTCGAGTTAAAACTGCTGGGTAGAATGCTCAAAAATTACCTTTGAATCAAACTAAATCATCATTTAGAATGCAAATTGAAATCTTGCAAGAAGACTTACATGCAGTTGTTGTAGGCTTTTGTGTAAGCTGTTCAACTTTTCTAGTGCTTGGTGTATTTGTTAAAAATCTCAAGAAAGACTTCTACAATTCTTGTTTAACAAAAATTACTCAAAAAGTACAAAAAGTACTAACAACAAGTACTATTTATTCGGTCGTCGTTGAACAACAATGGTCGACTCTCTAACGGTTTCAAGAGGGGGCTTTGTTCCTGGTATTAAGAACAATGTCATGCGAATCCATCCAAAGATGATCGATCGATAAGATTTTGTGGCGAAAAGGATGGTGAGTGAATTGGAGATTGAATGAAGGCTCGAGTAGAGAGTTGCCATTGAAGAGACTAAAAGATTGATCTTTATTCTTTGACGATCTCTCTGCTTTCGTTAAGTAGTTCAACTCACTTATCAACCAGATCTGTCTATCAGCAAAATGCAATAAAACCAGTGTGGTGAGAAAATAAGGAAAAACAGTGAATATAGAAGTCAGAGAAAGCTAAATAATAGTATGAAAGCTATCGTGAAAGCCATCGTCGAAGGCATACCTGACACAAAAAGATAACAGTAAAATATAGATGCATTTCTCTTGTCTTTCGACTCAAAGCCATCTTCGATTTTTGCGCAAAGTCAACTATCGCCGAGGTTGAGAGTACGGTAACAAGGACAAAGAATAAGGCATGACATGGTAGTTGAATTTCAAACATCATCACCCCAGCTGGTGATAGATTCACGATTACCACATCCTTCACATTGCAGATCGGAGGGTTTTAATTTACAAATCTTAAAAAGTTGATGAGCTAATTCGTGAACTATCTACCGTAATCGGATCGAAAATCACACAATCGTCCAAATAGAAATTGAAGCATGCGACAACGATACAAACACCACCATAAGTTAGCGTAATGATAGTCAAGTAGAAGAAAAATCTCATAATCTTTTTTCCATTCTGTGTGAATTTGTTCAGTTCGATAGATTCCATTAAAGCAGAAAGTACCAACGAAATAAAGGTTGCCAAGGAGATTCATAAGCTAGAATGACACTTGTACAATTTAGCCCAAGAAGAGGCTTTTTTATGGAGGATTAGGGCTGAGATTTCGCATAAAAACACCAACTACTAGGGCCGAGATACTCAACGGATTCGCTGAGTCAATGCCATCCAACAAAATCATAGCCGATTGGTCTGCTATGTACAATGGTTTCCATAGGAAAGTGCTTGTGTCAGTGATTTGAGCAGCTACCTAAAGCTCTTTTGATATTTTGAGGCAATCTGCCAGAGGAATGTCTTCCAGATTGCACTGGTTCATTTTGAACTGAGATGGTTCAACCAGGTTCGATAATTTGTTTTTTATTAAAAAAGGACCGATTCTCATTACTATTGTACAAATTTCGATCAAGTTTTATGTAAAAATGACTAAAGTAAATCGATTTATCAATAATTTATCAGGGATTAGAAGATAAAATCCGTTTTTCAGGTCAGTTTCAACCTTGAGTTTTTCAGCTGGTTTTGGCTTGGGAGGATGTGGCAACAATGCACAACAATGCACAACAATGTGTAGCAACAATGCAGCCAGAATTGGAGCAGGAATTGATCCGGGGGATTTGGGCATAGTGACTGACGAAGTGAGCCCGGTCACTTACCACCCTTTCTCCTTCGATGCTTCCAAAAGAAAAGGATCTTATACCCGGACGGTTTTCCAGATGGAGAGCAATTGTGTGCGCGCATAAAGAACACCTTGCCAGTCATTTACGTTCATTTACGCCAGTTTTCAGCGATTAATTGAAGCTATTCATTTTATTGAGTTTACCAATTGGAACGAGGTTTTAATTGGTCTAAAATTTTAGAGAAACCCGGAAACTCATTAGCCTTTTTTGGAGAGGAGACGCAACTTTAGAAAAACCAATCTTGTTACTATTGTAAGCCACTCACCAGCAAGTTGATCTGCAAAATGCGATGAGCACGAGTAGCAAAAGTCTTTTGCCTTATGAGAAAATATAATGTAACAAGTAAAAGAAAAGTTGAGAGAAACCAAGTGGAATCAAATATTGTTGAAATCGATTGTTGTGTCGATAAACTTGGAATAAACATTGTTTTATGACAAATAAAATTAATTTTTTTCTTGCATAGATTGAGTATTTGTCTGAAAAAAGTATTACTGATGTAAACAGGTGCTTTGGTGTCACATTTTCTTTAAATTCAGCTTTCGTGTAGTTCTCGGGGTTTAGCAAATGTATTAATTTTTCATTAAGGTTTGTACTTTTTAGTAACAAGTATTAGTTTTATAAAACTTGGCAAATCCACCTGTGTAAAAAAAGGAAAAAGAATATGAATAGGGCAAAAGAGAGAGAAAAAAAGAAAAAGTTAGTTGCTCACAAACCAGATTTTAACAAATACAATACTCTATTCAAGAAAGGTCAAGAATGTCTTTTCTTCTTTCAATTTTAGTCTTTTAATTACAAATTGCATCATTTCTTCTGTGGAGTTGAGATTTCGAGGACTGAAAGCTTTGGAGATGGTGATCTCTTACGTTCATTTGCACCCAAGACTCTGATTCTAAAATCAAGCTTTTTCAGATAAACTTCCAGTACCCACCTTGTACCAAACTTGGTAATCAACGCATTTCGATAATCCTTAATAAAATATAGCATGCAGATTGGGTCAACAAATGGATAGAATGAAATGAGAATTGGAATCAGAGTACACCATTGGCCAAGAGGGACACCAAAGAGCGGACAGAATGAAGCAATAACTCCAGGAGTGTACTCAAAAATCCCCGGAACAATAGTCTAAAGCTTCTTGAAGTTTTTGTAAGGTTAAACTTGCTAAAGATTGCTTTTTTACTGTTGCTTTACCTGAACCAATAGTGCTCTGAAGAGCTCGTGTTGCAACCTGATCGACTTTTCGCTCATTGCTGTGGTCTAAGATTGTTTTAAAGTGATTCACTCAGTGAAATCTCACTTTCAAAGTCTTTTGGATTTGCCAAGTGCAAAAGATGATTACAGCGAACGATGCTCCAAGTATTAGCTCAACAACTCCCAGCGCAAAAAGATTCGTCCAATCCCAAACCACTTCGCCGAGTTCGTTTTGGCGCTAAAATATCTATTACATCGAAAAATAAAATAGAAACCTTGTACAATGGCCCAACAATTGCCGTCTTGTTCACATCAAAGCCATAGATTTCCCAAAGTGGTTCCCGAAAGTGGTCCTGAAATACTGCACTAGGTGGATCACTGAAAATTCATACTGCCAGAGTCTGCGAGCTCAAGAACAAATGTGTAATCAGTCCCCAAACAAGGCCCATTAGTAGCCAGATAAGGAGATGAATGATGAAATATTTCCACGAGTTGAACACATACAAGCAGTTGCTTCTAGAAATGATTAGTGTAAGCCATTGAAAGTTGGCTTACTTGCAAATGGCGAGATAGCGATAGATAAAATGATACTCAAGGAGGGATAGGCTCTGAACGGTTTTTATCGAAGCAAGTTAGAGTCGAAAACCTGTGAGAAGAGTGCTCCATATATACACAATCCCAAATGCGCTGGTATGATGGTGTTTATCAAGAATGATGTAGGCATCAGAGCATAGCCGTATCCGTAGGCGTGCATTGTCTAGGAAATAGGTAGTGAGGATTTTGTGACGATATATTAGTGCTGATTGTAGTGCATTTTGGTGATTAGGCTCTAAAGTGAGTCATTGCTCTCAGTCTACGCTGAATCTCGTGAACATTCTCTGCTTTTAGTCCCTGAACATTCCCACAAGGAGACTTCCAGCGGCTTCAGTGGTCTAACGGATAGTTTTCTAGTTTATGGAACGTATGAAGTGTTTTCGGCTTGGGTTCGAATCTTCCGCTAACCAATTCCCTTGCTTTTTTGACGCGTTTGCATTAAATATTTATGTTTTATGCATCATTTTACAGCTTTGTTTTGACCTGGAAAACCCTTTGACCTGGGTCTTGGTCCAGCTCTAAAGCTTTCTTGTGGAGATGTTATTTGCGTTGAATATACCGGCTACAGCAGTAGAAGATAACTCACCGGCATCACTGCTAAATGAACTGTTGGATAGAAAAGATTGAAAACGGCAAACGATAACATCAAGTATCGATAGTTGCCCATATCTTTCCTGCTATGAAAGAGGATGAAATAGATGAGGATTCCATTCATTAAATATGCTAATGTACTATTGAAATAGATGATCGATTGTCCAACGATGGTCAGATCTGTCATTTTGAAATTTGTCAAAATGAGCTTTTCTCCCTTTTGGGAAGTTGAATCGTCACCGAAGTTTACAATGTTCCCGCAAAACTCATTACCTCTTGAATTTTCAGCCTGAAAGAACGATTATTTCCTCCAAAGAACAACCAAATTCTTTCCTCTTTGCGTCTTTTTACCCAATTGAATTACAAGTGCGCAATTTTGGTATTAATTTTTATCACCGACCGTTTCTAGTTTTGAACTTTACTCCAGTGTGTTCATCTTGTGCGTTCTTTGAAAAATCTAAAACAAAAGTTTATTAACCCATTCGAAACTTCTGCAGCGAATAATCGCTGCAGCAAAAACTCAGGAACGGACCGCTGCAGCGATTATTCGCTGCAGCGCTAATTGAGCTATTTTCGTTCAATTAATTGCTTTTTTTTTGCTGTTTTTCAGCATTACATGTATATTCCAATTGTAGCAGATCTACAGATTACGTGGGCAAAAAAGATGTTTCATATTTACCCGGAATCAATGCAGTCTCTGGTTTTGCATGGAAATGTTCCATAATAGCTCTAATCTTATAAAGCCGATCTCCTGCAGGATTCAGTTCATTATCACAAAAACGCAGGTTGCGAAGAATAGATTCAAATTTTGCTCTTGACATAATGTGGGACATTTGGGAAAATCCTCCTAATCCAGACCTGCTACTCCAGTAGTCACGAATCCTCGGTAATTTGACGATTCCCATTTGAAGCCACGAAGAGCTTGAAAGATTTTGCATCGGAATCCTGCCAGTTTGTTTTCCTTTTTCCATGTTTATTAGATTCGCCTACTAAAATATTGTCGTCGATAAAATAAGAACAATAATCGATAGGATCTTGAAAAGTACTGAAGTCAAATCCAATTCGTTCTTCATCAAAAATAAATGGTGTAGGAGACTCTCTTACATCTTTCCAACCATAAATAAACTGCTTCGGAGTCAAAAATGTCAAAAAAGGGCTTGGTCCGTAGACGAAAAAAAAGAAAAAACGCCGCGGTTTCGAATGGGTTAAATATAATTTATGAAAAATACGAAAAAATTGGCAAATTGGATATTTTGTACTTTCGACATCATTTCCTTTGTGAAGTTGAGACTTCGATAGTTGAAAGGATTAGAGAAGTTGTTTTAGCGATCGAAACTCTCGTTCTAAAATATTTTCCATTCAAGATAACCAGTGATAAATTCGTTTTTCACAACTTTTTCAACTAACCAATCAGATACCGTATTTTCTCTAATAGTAGCGCACCCTACGTGTCGCCTAAATTGCTCGAAATCTCGAAAGCCGCTTATCAGAACCTATCGATGTGGGGCCAGAAAATGTAGCTGACGATGAGATCTAGTGGGGGATTAGAGTGTTGAGCTTCTGCAAAGACTTGGAAACCGTAAAATAGTCATCAACTCGGCTCGGCGGGGTGCACTACTATTGGAGAAAATACGGTACTCTTCCAAGGCCGGAACAACAATTGTTGTGAAGACATTTGTTTTCACCAAAATGTATTCATTTTCAGATGGATCTACTGGAACAACTAGCAATCGTTGTGATTCTGAAAAGCTTTCTGTGGTAGAGCTTTCTAAGCCAAACTGCCATCAATCCATTGTCGAACTCGAATCGAGATTCCAAATATTGTGTTGAATTTGGTGGATGCAACAATGCTTAACCGATTCAGTGACAAATTTTCGTAGATAAAAGTGCAGCTGTAAAGCATTTGAGTCATATTCCATTGATGTGGTCTGAAACTGACAGAAGATTACAGAGTACAGCAAATTTAGTGTTGTGTTTAATGCATCTTTTTGTCTTTCTAAGAAAATACATTAACCTAAGCTGAAAAGAACAATTAATCATAAAATCTACGCGTAATTTTACATAAAATAGAAAAACTGTAACATTTTAAATAACTTTGGCAACCCTAGCCGAGCAGTACAAGGAATGCTATACTGGAAAAACAGTTAAATTCGAGTTAGGGGTTAGCTTACAATGGTTGGTGACATTTTGCCGGCACTGGCACTTGATGATTAACGAAGAAAGGAAATGGATCCAAGCAAAGGCGTACACAACCAGATTCCTTGTCAACTAGCCTCTAAAACCAAACATTTTTTGCCTGAAGGAAAAAGCACTGGATCATGAATGTTTTGACAGCCATGATGAGAAAAATCAATGAAAAAGTCAGTGCCATTTTTGGTTGAAACAATGAAGTTCTGAAAATCACAACTTTCTCAGCTCAGCATAAAAAGCCGAACTTTCAAATTTCGCAAATCATTTCCGTGAATTGTTGTTGATGGTGATTCTTCTGTTAATGTGATTTCAAGAATCTGACAGATTCCAAATCGTAAGATCCAAAACAGTATCAATAAAAAGAATGTCTTCATTAGTATCTTTATCTGGCCTCTCACCAGAAAGCAATCATTTGTTTGCACTGCTTGTTTGCACTGCTTAACTAGCGAGGAAGCCATTTCCCGCATATGATCGTCTTTCCAATGACGTGGAGATGCTCATCAATAGTAGAATTTGAACATAGAAACTGTTGAGCAAGTTCATTCGTCGTTTGACATGGATTCGATTCGATTGCAGCCCTCAAAGTATCGTTGTCTACCGTTTGAGGTCGACGAGAGTGTTCATCATCCTCGAGACTTTCATCACCATCCCGAAAGCATTAGAACCAGGCTCGGCATCGGCTTTCGGACAATACATCTTTCCCAAAAGCTTTGATCAAATCTGGATGGGATTCCGCGACTGTTTTGCCCAGTTTGAAGTCGTAAAATAGGCTTATTGATAAGTAAAGTAGACCCGAACTTGATATATTTGAAGTCGGTCATCTAAAGCAAGAAAAAAAACTTCAAAATAAGAAATTATCCGTTTAAAAAGATTCCAAATATACACAAGATAACGTACTTTTAAATACAGAAAGACATGTTTTAAAAGCTTCCCACACAACAATAGTTTAGTAACGCTTGTTTATATCCGAACAACCTAAGTTTATCAAAATATAAACATTCCAAGAAATCACATCAGAGTCCATTTCATAGAAATACTCTCTATTCGTGGCTTTTACGTTATTAGCCATAAGCCATATTAGTGATAAGGCAAAATCGCATCTATAAAATGATAAAAACCAGTCTTTTATTGTCAAAGGGCACAAAGGAAAACTGATATCACAAATTTTTTAGTCTAAATTTGAATTAGGAGAGAAAGTGATAAGGGAACGAATAAAAGCATTCAATTTTACGAGAGAGTTCAGAGTTTTTCAGAAATTGTAAATATGGACTCGACTCTGAGCCTATGCGTTTTCTTAGCGCTATTTTGGGGATCAAAAGCAATTGTTTGCCCGAATGGCTCACAGCAGATGCTCAATGAAACGACTTGCGTCTATTCGCTGAACGCTCGTGAGTTTTCTGGAATTGTTCTTTGGAATGGAATGGTTTTGATGGTTAAATTTCGCTTTTGAATGAATTATAGAGCTTCAAAATATTCTTTGAGTCCAAAAGTCTCAAAAATTTCAGCTCAAACCTTTTTCGAAGTCTCCAAACAGTGTGCGGCTCAAGCGTATTGGGCCTACCCGGTGAGAATCAAAAACGCCCTTGAGAACAAATTTCTGCAGAATCTTGCTCAAACTCGTAAGAAAATATTTGTTATTTTAAAAGTAACATCTTTAGAATTCAACAATGTACCCCCATTCATCAGTATTTGGAAGAAAGCTGGTGACAACTGGACATATTACGATGGAACCTCACCGCTTCTCTATCAGAATTGGGCACCTGGTTCGTGGTTAAGCTGGTAGAGTGATCCAAAAGTTCTCGTTCAACTTTATTTTAAAATAACTCAGATGAATCAAAAGTTTCTGTACAACTTTTTAGTAAAACTTGCTTTTAAGCTATTCAACTAAACTTTTTAAAAATAAAAGCCTTAATAAAATTATGCTTTAAACCATTAAAAGCTCAAAAAGCTATGATGAGCTGGGAGCTCATAGCTCATCATAGCTTTCTTATATGATTTGTCCTTTAAGCACAAATGGTTGACAGCACGCTGCCGAAATTAGCCAACTTCCAATGTTTATTCAGATTCTTAGCACCGATGAAATGAAACAATTTACACGAATTTTAAACTTTAAACTTTTTTCTAATTAAAATAAACTAAACTTGGTATTGAACAGTCTTTCTGGGGCTTTATGGAGAATCATTTTTCCATAAAAACACCGATCAAAATCGATAAAAACACTAAAATCTGCTGATTTTGATACGACGGGGTTTCTATTCAAATGAATGCTAGCCTAAACGCTTTAAAAATTATTTTCTAATGTTTTTAGCATAAAGATAAACGTTAAAAGTGCATAAATCTTTGTTTGGGATTAGTCTAAACTTCACGAAGGACTAAAAAAATTGAAAAGAGGGTCGATTTTGGCAGCGTGCTGTCGATCACTTGTGGTCCAACCATATAAAAAAAGCTAGAGCTATGAGCTCCTTATTAGTGATTTTAAATATAATTTTATTATGGTTTTAATTTTAAACAGTTTAGTTGAATAGCTTAAAATCAAATTTTAGTAAAAAGTTTGTACAGAAACTTTTGATTCATCCTGTAAATAGAGCCGTGTGATGAACAGATTAAACTCAAAATTAAGAGCTTATTGTTAGCGTTTGAATCAAAAACAAAAACAAACAACAAAAACATCAAAACAAACAAAAACAAAAACAAAAACATCAGCTGCTTTTAGGCGAGCCCAGCTCTACAGCGAATCGGGACCTCTGTGCTGTCATGAGCCCAACAACTGGCTTGTGGAAGTCGAGTGGATGCACGTTGACTAAACCCTAC